ATAGATAGATAGATAGATAGATAGATAGATAGATAGATAGATAGATACAGATGATAGAAGATAGATAATAGATGATAGATGATTGATAGATAGATAGATAGATAGATAGATAGATAGATAGATAGATAGATAGATAGATAGATAGATAGATACAGATGATAGAAGATAGATGATAGATGATAGATAGATAGATAGATAGATAGATAGATAGATAGATAGATAGATAGATAGATAGATAGATGATAGATGATGGAGACAGATGATAGAAGATAGATAATGATAGATGATAGATGATAGATAGATAGATAGATAGATAGATAGATAGATAGATATGGAGACTGATGATAGAAGATAGATAATGATAGATAGATAGATGCCACCAATCAAATCAAGGGCCCCAACGAAGACCCACAGGCTGCCATGCAACATCCACCCCACTTTGCAACTTAGTTCAGCCCAGCCCTGGCACCGTTTCCCCCTTTCCCGGTCTCCTAATTTCCACCGGCAGCAGGAGCATGGCATACGGACGCCTCCTGGAATCCTGCCGTTTGCAAAAATGCCTTTAAACGGTCCATCTGGCAGGCATCCCCTTGCATGCCTCTACAAATTTTAACACTCTTCAGCGGTCTGTGTTGCATCCGCTTCGCTGCTTCGGGAATGAAACCGTCTGGGAGCATTTTCTGAAGCAGTGGGGGGGGGGGGGGAATCGCATTTTATGCGAGGGGAAATTTATTTTATCCGTCAAGACTCGCCTTCCGCTCCCAATCTTTTCTCTGGGAAACAGAAAACAGCCAGAAAAGAAGATTCAGCACCTAAGATCCTGCTTATGGTTTCCAAATTGCTTTTTTTTTTTTTAATGAAAGGAGAAAAGTTCTGCAAAATGCAGAAAGAAGCAGGAACTCCTTGCGAGGAATCCAGCTAGCAAGGAAACACCAAGTTGGCTTGTTCCACTTCTGTCCAGGTGCCTTAAGTTACAGGCAGTCTTCAATTTACAACAGTTCAAAGTTACAACGGTGCTGAAAAAAAAGTCACATTGACCATTTTTCACAGTTATGATCTTGATAAGCATTCTGTCAGGATTCCAGCAATCGCCCTTATTAAATAATGATTCTTGAGCCAAACTTCAAAAAACTGCAAAGGATTCATTAGAGGCGACATTCTGGCCCTGCCCTGTATGAAGCCAACTTTGGCCTGCGTCATTTACAGTCCCCTGTGACCCTGTTTCCCCTCTCCCCCCTGGGTGCGTCACAAATCAGATTCTCCAATTGAGCCCATTCACAGGCTGGGTGTCATCAATCACATTCTCCAATTAAATATATTCCTGGGCAAAAGCTCTGGTAGTTTAGTTACAATCTTTTAAAGAGAAGAGTTGGAATGTAGTTTCGCTTTCAAACTGCTGCACGGCTCTTCCAGATTTCCTTCCTCCCCCCCCCTTTTTTTTTATGGCAACTAGTAAAACAGGAATGGTTTATGAGTTGACATTCAGCTCCTCTCACTTCTTGAAGGTGACTGTATAAAGCAAAACCAAATTGAGTGCAGAGATAGTATTTAGGGCTGCGACCCCCCCCTCCTCCCCCGTCTTGGTTGAATTTTTGTCCATGGGATCAAACTTCAGACGCTTGGCAGCTGACTCATATTTATTATGGTTGCTGTGTCCCTGGGTGCACGTTATATCCCCTTTTGCGTCCGTCTGGCCAGCGAAGTCAACGGGGAAGCCCGATTCACCTAACGATCAGGTTATTGATTGATCAGCTGCAGTGATTCACAATGGTGACCAGAAAGGTCATAAATGGGGCAAAATTCACCAATGCCTCACTTAACGACAGAAATGTTGGGCTTGATTATGGTCATATATCAAGGACTACCTGTAAACTCATAACATTGGCCCAAGTAAGTGATAAAATGGCTCTCAACTTTTTCCCCACCCTCTTTAAGGCTCT